CTCTCTCTCTCTTCCCCCCTCCCCCCGCGCCAGAGTCGCATCGCGTGAAATCACTGCCGTTTGGATGGCATCATCCTGCGGTCGCTGCGACGAGCGCCTCATTCGAAGACCCGAAGACAAGAAGACGCGACGGGGCGTTTAAAAAGAAAAAGGCTGTCGCTAAATGAGCGCGCCCGCCGCACCCAGCCCCGCCCCGCCCCGCCCAAGTGGCGTAGCTCGGCGTGCCACGAAATATGCATTAAGGTTAGTACAGTACAGAGGCCGCTCTCCCCTCCACCATCACCAACACCCACTACCACTCACACCATCATTACCAGCCCTCCCTCTCACACACCATCAGTAAGGATTTATACGGTCACAAATGGCATTTTTACGAACCATGTGTGTATCTACGATTTCCATGTCCACACACATTGAGGTGTCGGGGGGCTGCTGATCTTGTCTGAGCGCGGCTCGGCGCCCGGGTCGGAACGGGCACCCCCCCCCCCCCCCCGCGCGTGTCGCGGAACGGAAAGGAGGAGGGGGGAGCCCTCCAGCCTTCCGGAGCGAGCGATGGTTCCAGTTTACAAGTAATGTGCCACGAGTTGATCGGACATCGATTCGTTGTTGAAAGTGTTGGCGATCGTCCGTTTTATTTATTGGATGATTCCTTGTGAGATGACAGAAGCTCGGCACCTGCGAGACTCGGGATAGGCCGCCACGCAGTACACGCATGCACTACACAAGAGTTAATTGCCTGCCCATCAGGCGCTATGAGAGCTTGCGTCGGAGCTACACTTTTGGCAGGCTCTTAACGGAGAATGACGGGCGCACTTTCTGGACGGACCCTTATTTTTAAAAACTGCGGTTTAGCTTCTTTTTCTTCCTACATGGAATTTAATTTCGCTTTGGTATCGAACCGATACCGGAACGATGTCGGCTGATGATGATGTATTTGAAATGACACCCAACAAACAATCGCCTAAAATAATATCTTTCGATGTTCATATTGTATTCTACTTTCCCGAGTTTGATGTGGGTGGGCAACCGTTGCGAAGGCTGCGGACGAAGATGCGCCGGGCGAGCCTGCGACGCCCCCACCCACCCGCAACCCTCACCCCCTCCCGCCGGCGTCACCCCTCCCGGCGCCCGACGCACTTCTGCCGTATAAAACGACGGAGGAGACGAATTAGCGCCAGAAGCGAGTGCAACTCCGAACCAACAAATACACAGCATGGCTAGAAAGGTAAGACAGACAAAAAGATAACATAAGAATTTTTTTTTTTTTTTAAGATTTCTTCAATATTGGCATTTTAATACATTTCGATGGTGTAGTTTTTTGAGTGTATAACCAAAGAGCTTTTAGCGTGACGCATGAATAAGTTTTGAAGGGCTTCGATTTTACCAACATCATCAAACGTTTTTACAAAATTAAAAATAAATTTCGCAGCATTACGTTCATTGATAAAACAAGTTTTTAATTTTACACGTGAATTGGGGTGCAAATTTGGACATTCCCGAAATGTGTAGCAGCTGCACGCCTACTGGTTTTTACTGCTAGCATTGAACGGTGTTTTTCTAAGTGTGCAAAATTCAGGCGCTTCCGAAATGTGCACGTTACGCAAGTGTCTAGCGTCACCATGTAATATGCAAAAATCATGACCTGACACATGTTGTTGTGCAAATTTTTTACACTTGTTGAATAGGCATACTGTGTTGGCTCGATTGGCGACAGCTTTTGCACAATGGCGGCGGTAGCTGTGCGCCCCGGCTAGACGCCGGCTAGTGCCAGCGATGAGCCGTTAGCGCCGTTTGCACAGGACTCATTGTGCTTGGCAGCGCGCTGCTGCAGGCGGAGGGGAAAAAGGGGGGGGGGGTTTCCGTCAACTTTGGCATAATGAAAACTAGAAAAAAAAATTAAGGGGAAAAAAACAATGGTGAAATACTGATTAAGTTTGATTAGTTGTGATGGGCTTCGGCGTAGCCTTTCACTTTAAGTTAAATTAGTGAAGTAACTCGAGGTGTTGGATTTTCAGCTATGATGACTTCAAGTTCAAGTTCTGTTGAAGTTTGAGTTTCAGCTCCAAACTTGTATTTTTTGTTTGAATAACGCAGGACGGGCCCTCCTCGTTGCTGGTGGTGCTCGCGGTGGCGCTGCTCAGCCCCGCTCTGGTGTGCCTGGCTGCCCCCGGCAGCCCGACCCACGGCCAGGGCCACCACCACGCCGCCCCCGGCGGGGGCGGCCCGCGGCCGCGGAGGCAGGTCGGCGCCGACCTAGACGGTGGCAGCAGCGGCCACCAGATCGCCGACAACGAGGCCGAGGCGACCGACGAGTACCAGCAGCAGCAGCAGTACCAGGAGCAGGACGCGCACCAGGCGCAGGAGGCGCGACACCACAGCCGCCGCGCGGAGGACAACTACGAGGACGAGCAGGTCAGTGACGACAACGGCAGATTTGATGTGGGTGGCCTTTGCTTTTCATTTTCCGGACGATTAATTTTGGAAATATTCTCAAGACATTTAAAAAAGCATATGCATTTTTTCCCAGAGAAGTTTAGTGTTTTCAATTTTACCGGAGATATTTCATTTTTTCCGCAATTGTTTCTGGAAAAGTTTCGATTTTTTTCCGGTGATCGCCCGAAAAAGAATGTACAGTGGACTCTCGATAACTGTCGCCTCGATAACTGTCGCGTGCGAGAGAGATAGCTATAGAAAAATAGCGCGTTCCATGCGGACTGACTGCCGGCTCCGGCGGCTCGCCCGGCTCGCCTGCCGGAGGAGTGGGGAGAGCGGAGCACGGCAGCAGCGAACGCACAGTACCCTCGATAACTGTCGCGGCGACAGTTATCGAGAGTCCACTGTATGAAAATGAAATTTGTCGGCCTACAGGACATTGTGTACGACTTCTCGTACGAGGTCAAGGACCCTCACACCGGCAACGACTTTGGCCACCGACAGAGCAGGGCCAACGGGCTGACCCAGGGCCAGTACCGAGTACTTCTCCCCGACGGACGCATGCAGGTCAGTAGTAGTGCACATCATCATTACTAAGGGTTGGAAATTTCCGAAAATTTCCGGGCAAAGAACGGAAAATTTCCGGGTTCTGAGAAATTTCCCACTTTGGCGGCTGATGTGTGCCCTCGTGTTGCCCCCCCACAGGTGGTGGACTACGTGTCCGACAGGGACGGCTTCCGGCCCAACATCCGGTACGAGGACGTGGGGATCCCCGTGTTCGCCGGCACCGAGCAGTTCGAGCAGTTCGCCGAGGGCAGCAACCACTTCGAGCAGGAGGCGGGGCCCGGGTCGAGCGTGGTGTCGAGCGCGCCGGCCGACGGGCAGGCGCAGCAGGGCCCCAGTCCCGACGAGGTGCGGCGGCGCCGGCGGCGCTCGGCGGGGGCGGCGGGGGCCCACAGGAGTGCCCGACGACACTAGGACACTTAGGTACGACTCACCACCACTCGGCGCGGTACAAACGGAACAGAGACGGCGATAAAAAAATAGTTGTTATAAGTTATGATCAATAAATTATTTGTTGAAAGAGTTGATGCACAGTTTAGCCGAAAGCCCAATTCTCCCTACCTCCGCCTACATTCCCAGTAAATACCACAGGTTACAGACAGGTGATCATCAAGGAAGTACGTCCGTCGATTCTCCCTACGAACCTGCCAAGGTAAGACCACGCAAGCTCTCATAGCGCCCAATAGGTAGGCAACACCTCGCCTGCAGTGCACTGCGGGGTGGCCTACCCCGAGGCTGCTTGTTGCCTACCGCCCGGGCGTCCTCCGCCGCAATTCTTCCCTGAGGTTCCCTGAGTCCTAGGACTCTACTTCCCCACCTCGGCCACGTGTTGCATGGGTCGGGAACGCTACAGGATCACATCCCAGGCACACGTGGCGTTGATTACATTTGTCGGGGAATGCCATCATCGTCTGACCCGTCTGTTCCTTCCTCCCCGCCCCCCCCC